TGGGTTTCCGAGGCAGTATCACTACGGAAGTAGATTGCCCCATCTTCCTTCCGAGGAATGGCTGGTGGGTTTGAACCACCAGCCTTCTGGTTAGCAGTCAAGTGCCTTAGGCACTATGCTACCAGAGCTCCCTGACTACTACAAGAAGTTAATCATTTCTTTCTCTCAGCTGCCTCAGTACCTTTTACAAACCAATACTACATTTCATCAAACCTAAGACACCATCAATTTTAAGAAGCACCATTATTTACTGTATCATCAAGAAAGAAAAGTGCTACCAATTAACAGTAAAATGCCATTGATGATAAGACATTTTCCCAGATAAAACATGGGTGGCAGTGTGTATCTTAGAATTGCAGAACTATGCTATTTTACTTTCACATTTTACTGTAGTTATTTATCAATCTCTCTTACAAGACTCAATATGGCAACTCCAGACTCTCTTGATAAGAAGTGCTTAGGAGGACAATCAGATGGGAAGAAGGATAAGCAGGGGATTTGCCTTGAATCTGTCTTTAGAGAGACTTTAAATTATGTTTAAAAAAATGTTATTTTCCACATAAAAGAGTATATGGGTTCAGTGGGGGGGCAGTGACTCATGGAGACTATTGCACTAATGCCCTGTCCCATTTGCCCTTGGCATTGCCACTACTTTTAAGTGAACTGAATGGAATTTAACTTAAGGTAAGATCATGTGTATTTACATAAAATTTTGATTATCTATGCAAACTCTGGCCTATTCACAAAAAATTTTTAGCTTCACATTTTATGCTTCAAAGAATGTTATAATTTTACTCTTGTACAAATGATCCCCTGGTTTTTTTTTATCAGTATTACACATTGGCAGGGACAATAGCAATGGATGGATGGCTGATTCTAGGAATGTATAGCAGAAGAAGGGAAGCTGTCTTTCAGAGCTAGGATTCAGAGGGAACTAAGAGCAAAGCACAATCAAGGTCACTATGGAAAAAAAAAAGTGATGACAGGAACTAGGAAACAGAGTGGAAGGAGGAATAGCCAGTTTTGTTGTTGTTGTTAATATGCACAGCAAAACATACACCAGTTGAATCATTTTCTACATGTACAATTCACTGACAGTGATTTTTCAAGGTGTGCATTCATTTTCTCACTCCTTTTCTGAGGGAGACAATTAACCCACTGCCTTCTAAGATTCTTAAATAATCTTTTGAGTTGCTGTTGTCACTCTGATTCCATATAGATATTTCTTAAAAGAGCATAAAGCTCAAGGCAGATCATTTTACTAGTTAAGTGAAAAACTACTTCTGGTTTTAAGAATAATTCAGGGAATATTTTTGGTTTATGTTTTAAAGGTTACCTCAGGGCAATTGTTTCAGGGTTCATTTACCCTCCATAGCTCCAGAAAGTCTGGAGTCCATGAGAATGTGATGTTCTGTTCTTCATTTTCCCCCTTTTGATCAGGATCCTTCTATAGAATCTTTGATCAAAATGTTCAGTAATGGAAGCCAGGAACCATTTACTTTTCCTAGTCTAATGGCAAAGGAAGCAGTTGGTCATGGAGGCAATTTGCCACACAGAACAGCCACTTTTTGAAAAAGGTATTTTACTTGAAGGAGCTGCACATAAAAAGATTTCCGGAGGATTTTATTAAGGAAAGTCATATTTATCCAGGGGTTAGTTCTTTGCTTTATAACTTATTAAGGCTCTGGCTCTTCTTTCTGTGTAGTTACTGACACTTTAAACCATTTCAATATTTTATAGCGTCTTATCAGAACAAATGGAGAGAGGGCAAAATTCAGATATGGTCAAGCTACCAGATGTAGAAAAAGAAACTGTTGTTTAAAGAACATATTGAAACAATTGATGAAGAATATATGATGATGGATTTCCAGTAATCAGATACTCCTTTTAATTCTGATCTCTTTATAGCATGAATCAGTTTCTCTAGAACTTAAAAACAATAACAATTTTTTTAAAAAAATTTTACTGTGATTTGGGTGGAAGTTTACAGAGCAAATTCATTTTCCATACAGCAGTTCACATGTACTTTCTCTCATGACATTGACTGCAATTTCCCACAGTGCAAAAGCTTTCCTCCCGTTTCCTCCCCATAGCCACCTCTTCCCTGTGTCCTTCCCTCCCATGCACACCTGCCTCCCAAGCTGTCTTCCTGTGCATACACAGCCCTTTTCTTCTCCCATAATTGATCTCTTCAAGGAGTGTACCTACCTAATGTAAATGTTCAGCTCATGTGCCTGTCTTTTGTTTGGCTGGAAGCCACAGAAGTGGATTCAATTCCAGACCTGAAGGGCAGCTAGGAGCCATAAGCTCAGGGGTTCCACTAGGCTCTATCAGACCAGCAAACCTGGTCCCTCTTTTTTTTTTTTTATGATTTTGAGTTTTGTTCCACATTGTTCTCCCACTCTATCTAGGATCTCCTATACAGATCCCCCTCTGAGTGATTGACAGTGGGAGCCAGGCACCATCTAGTTCTTCTGGTCTCAAAGTCATATAGGTTGAGGATCACATGGTCTACAAGTCCCCTGGACTAACTGTTTCCATGCATCTATGGTTTTCTTCATTCTTCTTTGCTCTGGACAAGAAGAGACTCATCATTGCATCCAAATGGCTGCTTGCAAGCTGTTAAGATCCCAGCTGCTACTCACCAAAGTAGGATGTAGAACAATGTTTTTGTGTAGTATGTTATGCCCAATTGAGCTTGATGCCCCCCGCAACCATGGTCCTGAGCCCACAGGTCTGTAGCTGGCTATGGCCAAGAAGTGACTACAGCCTTGTCCCTTATCAGTTCTGCTGTATACCTGGACATTCTTACAGAGCATACAAATACACTTGTAGAAACATTGTCTACCAACTCTATACGTGGTCATGGGCACACTCCCCCATGCATAGACATACCTAATCAAATAACAGTTGTTTTTAACAAGTGGCCATTTTTAAGATGAATTTAAAAGCAGTACTGATATCAGACAATCATTACTTCTCAGAGTATAACAAATGAGAAAATCTTGTATTTAAAATTCCAATTCATCTTGACATCACCTTTAGCTTTGGCTAAAGATTTGCATAGGCAACATTTTCTACCCACCACAAACCATCTCAACATTGCAATGTACCTGAAAGACTTCATTTTTATTTGCTGATCACCATCTTCCATTCTACAAAAAAGCAGGATAAAATATCAAATTACATGAAACAGTTTTTCTGTAATTCTTGAGAAAGAAAAAAATGTGTTATTAAGTCCAACCATCGCCATTCACATTAGATATTTAGTTACAAATGCTATCACTCAGCACATAATGACCTGAAATGATTTTTACTGTATGAGAACTGTTCTCCTACTGATGATCACACCAGTCCCACAGGGTAACAAAAAACTAATTGATAGTGAACAATAATTGGTGCTCTATTTAGAAATGACTTCATGTCAGTCTTTAGAATAACATGTTCATAAAATTAACATTAAATAACATAAAGGTATTACAGTTATCCCTCACTTTTTATAAGTTTCCTTCATGCCACTTCACTTTTATGGAAGACCTTTATTAGTACCTATTTATGCTAACTGAAAGAAACTGAAGAGGATTTTCACTTTTATGAAAAAAGATAAAGAGAAAAACTAGCCTTCAGCATTTGTTTAGCAGAGAGCAGTTAAAGAGGTAGCACACCCCAGGAGCAGCCTTAGCGGAGTCACTAAGCTCCTTCCCAAGGAACTACACGGTACATACATTATACCTGCTTGACATAGGCTGTGTATTTATCATATCATTCCTACTTTTACTATGTGTCAGTGTTATTTTAGGTTTTTGTGTGTGTGTTTTTGGTATGATTTGGTAGGTTATTTTTGGGGTCTGGGAACCCTCAAAATCTCTTCCATATAAATTAATGGTAATTGCTTCTTCATTTTACACCATTTTGACTTACTGAAGGTTTCACAGGAAAACTCTTATTTTGGATTTTAGGGAAAACCTGTATTCTTAAAATAATTATTGGCTTCACCAAAAATTTTATGTTGTTGTTGTTGTTGTTATGTGCGACCCCTCCTTGGGTTTCCAAGGCAGTATCACTACGGAAGTAGATTGCCCCATCTTCCTTCTGAGGAGTAGCTGGTGGGTTTGAACCACCAGCCTTCTGGTTAGCAGTCAAGTGCCTTAGGCACTATGCTACCAGAGCTCCCAAAATTTTATGATAGCTGTATTAAAAATGGACCAAAAATACATTAAGAATCTCAGACCTTTAATCAAAAGAATTTATTTTGCCTAAAAAGTAATCTAGATAGTAACAAATACTATTGAAAACAGGCAACTCTGATCACTTGCCAATAATACTAATTTTCACACTTCTTTATTATTTAGCATCATAAATGTAGTCACCAGACCACTACTAAAGTGAAATATTTGATGTGACAGAACACTATCCACATTAAAAACTCAGTCAGATTGAGTAGCTTTTAAAAATATTTTGTTGTTGTTGTATTCCAAAAGTCTCATCTGTTTTTTTTGGGGAAATTTGAAAGTTGAGTGAAAAGTATCAACAATCCCACAACCTGGAAATAACAACAGTTAGTATTTAATGTGTCTTCTTCTGATCTCTTCTCTAAACATGTAGATACATATTCAAAAACAAAAACAAAACTCAGCATCGAGTATTATGTTTAGCCATGATGTATTTGTGTGTGTGCAGTACAGATGTGTAGATGTCTATGTTAGATCTACATAATGAAAAAGTTTGAGATCACAATACGTGCTTATTTAATATCTTGTATATACTTAACACTACAACATGAATATTTTGCTGTATCTTCAAATAATCTTGGACAACATGATTTGAAATGATTATAAGTTCAGTGATTAACTAAACCATAATTTATTTAATTTCTATTATTAGGTATTTCAGTTATTCTAATTTTTCAACATTAAAAATAATATGGTAAATAATTTTGTGGCACATGCTTCTTTGATTAGTCTCCTTGAATAAATTTCCAGAAATATAATTTACAAATAACTATTTTAAGCCTTTTTATTCATCTTGTCAAATTTTCCTTTTGATAAACTTAAAAACAATCATTTTTCAGACACTGAATAAAGTTTGACCTATCTTTAAACTGACAAATTGAAGAGGAATGGCATGGCATTCACCATCACAAATAATGTGTCAAGAGCTATCCTAAAGTACAATGCTGTCCAAAAAAAACCCAAACTCACTGCCATCAAGTCAATTCTGACTCATAAGCAACGCCTCCTTGGGTTTCCAAGGCAGTATCTCTATGGAAGTAGACTGCCCAGTCTTCCCTCTGAGGAATGGCCAGTGGTTTGAACTGCCATCCTTCTGGTTAGGAGTCAAATGCCTTAGGCACTATGCCACCAGAGCTCCCACAATGCTGTCAGTAATAGGATAATGTCCATACGCCTACAAGGAAAGCCAGTTAATACCACTATTATTCAAATTTATGTACTAACCACCAAAGCCAAAGATGAAGAAGTCAAATATTTTTACCAACTTCTGCAGTCTGAAATTGACCAAACATGCAATTAAGTTGTGCTGATTATCACTGATGACTGGAATGCAAATGTTGGAAACAAAGAAGAATCACCGGTAGTTGGAAAATTAGGTCTTGGTCATAGAAACAACGCTGGAGATCGCATGACAGAATTTTGTAGGACCAACAACTTATTCATTGCAAGTACCTTTTTTCAACAATGCAGACAGTGGCTGTACACGTGGACTTCACCAAATGGAATACACAGAAATCAGATTGACTACATCTGTGGTAAGAGGAGATGGAAAAGCTCAATATCTTCAGCCAAAACAAGGCCAGGAGCTGATTGTAGAAGAGACCATCAACTACTCATAAGCAAGTTCAAGATGAATTTAAAGACAATTAAAACAAGTCCAGGAGAGCCAAAACATAATCTTGATTACATCCCTCCTGAATTTGGAAACCACCTAAAGAATAGATTTGATGCACTGACACCAATGACTGAAAACCAGAGGAATTGTGGGATGACATCAAGAACATCATCCATGAAGAAAGCAAGAGGTCATTAAACAGATAGGAAAGGAAGAAAAGACCAAAATGGATGTCAGAAGAGACTCTGAAACTTGAACTTAAACGAAGAGTAGCTAAAGCAAATGGAAGAAACAACAAGACAAAAGAGTTGAACAGAAGATTTCAAAGAGCAGCTCCAGCAGACAAATTCAATTATTATAATGAATTGTGCAAAGATACAGACTTGGAAAGCCAAAAGGCAAGAACACACTCGACATTTCTCAAGCTGAAATAACTGAACAAAAAATTTTAAGCCTCAAGTTGCAATACTGAAAAGATTCTATGGGCAAAATATTGAATGATACAGGAAACATCAAAAGAAGATGGAAGGAATACACAGTCACTGTACCAAAAAGAATTGCCTGGTGTTCGTTCATTTCAGGAGGTGGCAAATGATCAAGAACCAATGGTACTGAAGGAAGAAGTCAAAACTGCACTAAAGGAAGTGGAAAAAAAAAAAAAAAAGCTTCCAGGAATTGCCAGGATACCCATTGAGATGTTTCAACAAACAGATGCCATGCTGGAGGCACTCACTCAGTTATGCCAAGAGATTTGGAAAACAGCTACCTGGCCAACTGACTGGAAGAGATCCATTTTGTACTCATCCCAAAGAAAGATGATCCCACAGAATGTGGAAATTATCCAACAAAACCACACAAATAAAATCTTACTGAAGATAATTCAAAAATGGTTGCAGAAATATGTTGACAGAGAACTTCCAGAAATGCAAGCTGGATTTAGAAGAGGA